ATTCCACCTAAGTCTAGGTCTTCCGAGTGATCTCTTTACTTCAAGTTTTCTAACCAGAATTTTGTTAATGATAATGATTATACGTAAACGTTCAGAAAGGGTTTGAAAGGTAGGCCTATTATTCCGGTATTTCTCTATAAACAATCAATTGAACAACAACAAATGTATGAAACTTTGATTTGCAAATTTCGTGGCTTCTATTGTTTGGTACTCAACTACAAAGTTTCGAGCTGGCGTCACACTGATTTCTTATTTTATTCAACAACGCAGATTTAAAATGAACGTGTAAGGACGCCGTCCTCGTGTTTTAAAGTATTTTCTAGGCATCTGAGTAGAAACACGTCATCTCTTTAAATAAATGTGTTGCTCATTTTTTATAAAATGGTATTCCGTATTTACGTCTTTTCCTCTACTGTTGTAAAGTTCAATTTCTTCTTGGCTGGCATGCAGTTCTTTTCACCCTTTTGCAAAAATGCCTTAAAAAGGTGAAAGTTATCGTAACCACAAACACTGCCAACCTCTTACATTTATTTCTAATGATGTGATGTTACTCCCAGCTGAAAATTTCCCATGATGAAGATAAGTTATTACAAAAATGTTATCTAGTGGCATGACCTCTACATCAAGTTTTCATAAAAATCAACAAACCGGTTCAAAAATCGCTGGAGGAAGTGTCTTCCTTCTTCCAGTTCGCTGTTACAGTATTCACCAGAGAACTTTCGTCAATCCAATAAAATCCATTTAATACTCACGTCCTATTACTCTAAGAAGATCCATTTCAGTGTCACCTTCTCATCCAATAAACATGAAATTAAAGTATAGCCGTCAAAAATAAGTACATCTTCCATTAACACATAAGAATAATTAACCAATTTAAAAACTAATGAACATAAACTCACCAAGAAACCAACCACAAACAACTGATCACTGATCAACAATTGTAAGTAACCAAAAATACCCAATTACAATCAACGAAACACTACGCGGCCAACAAACCATCTTCCCGGCCAACACGAACGCCATCACTAAACACAATCCTGAGTCGACGAGCACAACTTAAACGCAGTATTAAATCCTTCGGTAAAAAGAAGTTATAATACATTTACAGAGAACTGAAACTACCTTTGCTTACCACACGGATCAAGAGCCGCCGTCTAACGTAAGGAGAAAGCGGGCACCTTTTCTCCTGCCTTCGTAACCATTAAATGCTCAGAACCTTGCTATCACGTGCCCTGTTCTCTCGACCGACAGCGAGACCCGGCTACAGAACCTGGGCAGGCAGGCAATACACGAGGACGAGATGACCTGAGGCATGTTCTTATGCTGGTAATGGGGTTTCCCACCACAGCCATCACTGCACCATGCTCATATAACCTTTTATTTAAAACCGAACGGTATTTATATGTACCACCTGCTTCAATTTACTTTGCATTCTGCCCATAAAGTGTATTTACGAGTTTAATGCAATTCTCATAATAAACAGCGTCAACCAGTTGATATTTGTAACGGTCGAATATGGTTTTCTTTGAGGTACGGGCTGAATTATTATTATTTTGACGGTTCGGCTTGAAAGAGTCGAGAGCTTTTGTCTTATGAGGCTTCTCCTGAGAATGGTTGGACTCAGGGTGAAGAAGTTCCTTCAGTTGCCATTTCTGGAAACACAACCTGCGGCATGTGTGCCTTAATGACACTCAAATGCGAATAAATAATCGATGAATGGCGTGTCGCACGAGTCCTAAAATTCAGTCCACTCCCTTCAAATACAGAGGTAACTTAGAAACACAGGCATTATTGCGCAGGGGAACTCGGTCATCCCTGGGCCCCGATACACATGGAAGCCCTTTCTGTTTTCATGCTGACCGAATTGCATCTATCGAATCTTTAATATGAATATCCGTATGTATTATGAACCTGGTAATGTTAATGAAACACCTTTGAACTGACTTTTGTGAAAAAAATACAATTTTAAAAGTTATTCATTTTCGATTTAAATCCATGATTAAGGGACTATAGATGTAAGCCAGAGCAACTACTTTAGAGTTTAACAACTAGGCAAATCCATAGCGTCTTTGTGGATTCTTTGAGGCTGTAACGGCAACTTTTTCCACTCAGTCAATAAACAAGCGATCTTTATTTTGTTCTAATAATGGAATTTCATTTGTCTCCACATTCTGGATAACTCGAACAGAATGCGCTTGCTACCGCACTAAAGATGACTGGATTCCTCTCATAAAGTAGCGTACGATTAAAACTGAATACGTCCAGGATAAACACCCGCTTGAGAACCGTTATAATGAACTTTGCAATTCAGTAACCGAAGTCACAGCGCAAAATATCACTCCAACATTAAAAAAAAAAGCAAGCCCGTTCACGCTCTACGATCAAATAGGTCACGTGTTACGTCACGCGACGGTAGATTTCAGGTCCTACTCGTTGTGCAGTTCGCGTCATTACGAGCATAAAAAATCTGACTTTGCACTGTCGTATTCTATGGTCTTGCGGTCCTGGGCCGTCTACACACTCTGATAGAAAATTCGAATAAAATAAATTACTTCTGAAATTCATAATTACATTTTTATGTTCTTCATAAGTACTAATTCTGCCACATTTCCGAAGGATTCGTCAGAACGACTATGATTCTGTCCCTGCATCGTGGTTGAGACATGAATACGTAGTCTACTTGGTAACAAAGCATGTAGAATTGCACTTGAGTGGTTTAACCATCTCTGATCACGTGGCCTGGAAGTTAAAGGACGTGGGTGAGACGGTCTGAGGAACGTTCTTTCAAGCTGCAGTAACATAGGAAAGTTTTTGAGATTCTTAACCGTTACCATGGACTCCAAAGGTTCAATGTCTTCATTATATATAGCCCAAAAACACAGTTTAAAACTCCTGGCTTACGAAGTTACAAGTTTAAAAGATGACTAACAGAATTCACTCGAAATTATAAGACAAGAACAGAACACAATCGAACGAACTTCATTTATATCGCTTATTACGTCAAAATATGTATCCAGAAATGCGGTAATTTCGTTAAAAATTGCGATATCTCTGTATATGCTTGTCGTGAACGTGTTTTATGTTCGTAGGTCCTACATAAGTACATTTTTAAATGTTGTATTCGATCCCGGATTGGCTGATCATATTACATACATAATTTATTAACTCTGTGGTTAGTCTGACATATTCAGCTGAGTAACACGAAAATTTCAGTCACATAAACCTGTTCTGCTACACTATCAAAGTCATAAAACAATTCTACAATCTCTAAAAATATCTTAATTCATGTTTTATCGTCATTTCCGAAGAATTACAAGTGACGTATAAATACAAAACTCTGAAATGTCACACGTTCAAAAGGACGTACCGAAGTTCGTGTACAACTATAAAAAGAATTCAATATGCAACGAATAAAAGAGAACCAGAACAATTTCCTTACAACAATACATCAGTAGATTCACGTGTCAGATTTCAGGTTCTCATGGCGGTGAGTACATAGGGAAATACTTTGCTTCAGAGCGACCGTTACTGGCGTCACGTAATAGTGAGAGCATTTGCCTCTGGACACTAATCGAAGTCGACTCCAAAGTCGAATGCGGTTTCAATTGCTTGTAGAATCACAATCACTTTCCAAGAATTAAGACTCCACCCACACATCACGTTGTCGATAACAAGAAAGCTGATGCGTGCGATATAAACACTGAAGGTGTGAAACGAATAAAAAGTGAGACGTCGCAATATATTTTCTCTATACCAAGAGGACGATCTTAATCAAGGAAAGAAGATGAAGTTTCAGGAGTTAAAACGAGAAGCTGAGAATAGGGAAAACTGGCGAACTCTTTTTGGGCAGAACAATGGACCTGTCGTCAGACAGAACACTAGATAATAATAATAATAATAATAATAATAATAATAATAATAATAATAATATACCAAGAGGAAACGGACGATCTGGTAAACCCAGAAAAATATAGGATCCATTTATAAATTATATTCCCCGATGGTGGAACAAATCTTGGATGGTCTAATCCATGCATCTGAAAATGATAAGCTGAAGTACGGATTACATGAACGGGAATTTTATCGATTCGCGGGCCAATTTAATGAAACTCTATGGAAATTTATTAAAATGTCGAATAGGTTTGCATATTCTTAGTCATTTATGCAATGTAGTTTTGAATGTAAACGTTTCTTTTGTGAACTTTTTATTTTGACTATATATGGTTAATGCCATTTTGCAGTATGAGTGATGTACCTTACTAACATGTTGATGTCATACAAGTGTCCCTGGTTGCAGTTACAAGGGGTATTTTTCGTGTACAGTTACGTTAGCTGTCAGTGTGAAATAACTATTCATGTTTACGTATTACTCAATAGTTTTATTCAACAAAATCGGTCATTAATGACCTGTATGACAATACTTTTGCTCAATTAATGTTTCAATATTTGGATTAATTTTTGTTGTTATTTGCAGGATCCCTCGAAGTGTTCATCACTCATCCTAGTTCTTAATTGACATTTCTCATTAAGCTGAACACTTGATCACAGAGATAGTTACTTCCAAATAAAATGGACGTGTATTCTTTTTATTTCTGGTAACTACCGGTATTTTTCATAATATAATGTGACATTATATAAAAAATGTACGCGTGTGGCATGCGGCGAGTTGAGACCCCTGCAACACACATTTTTTTATATACGCGTGCCTGTACTATGTTCACGATGTTTATGAAGTGAATGTAAGCAGTGTGTCAAAGTATAAAACCTAGTTCACGAGACGAGGGTAGTTATATGGAATATGCTAAATTCTGATCACAAGTAACCAGTCACTGCCATAACGTAACTAAAACACTGCTTGTCACTGTAGATGAACTTCCTCAGCTGGTGGTTAACAGAATACCACCTACATGTTCGACATATTATTGTAATTTCGACCCATGAACATCGTGATAGAAGCGCGCAGCAGGTGTTATCCATCCCAGATCGTACATGTTACATACCTTACGCGGATCCTTCAGCATACACTGTGACGAAATAGGATTCGACACAACTCAAACACAAAGCATAACTCCATGCATCGCAACTTTCAGTATGCTACACGGTAACCAACTTGACTCATCTTTACTGCCACTCGCGCATCCAACAATCCCAGCCATGTTGCCAGCAGCGCGATTATTGCGCCCTCATACTGATAGTGGTTTCCGGTGACAGTTGTAATCACGATTGATAACATGAAAAACGCAAGACTTAATTTCCCTCTCTTAAACGTTAGGTTTTAGTTCTTACTTTTCATTCAAAGTGCCTATCCATTTAAAATCCAGGGCTTGTAAAACGTGTTTCGCTTTCCTTATCGCAATTCACCACTGCTGGATTTGCGGAATTTTGTTATCCTACTGTATTGTGATAATACGGCAAACGGGACAATCTAATGGAATGAATCCTAAGCTCATGCTTTTATCTGTAAATTTACCAACAGGTGTTGTTTCTGAAGTAATGCCAATCTTGTACATAGAACACCGAGTTATGAAAAGAACTTTCTGACCTCTATTAGGAAAGTACTGACAAAAGTATTTATCGAGTATAAATGTCAATTCGTTTTTATAAATAAAATGTTTAGGTACAATTTGAAATCTGTTAGGGCTTATACAAACCATAGGTGTAGAATCTGGGGGGAAAAAACTCCACAAGTGACACTGGGATCAGAACATGTTGCACAACTGTAGTAGAGATGGCAAAAAAATTCTTGCCTGTAAATGTACAATTAATTTTTAACTGTTGGATATTAAAAATTGACACTCAGGAATGTTCACATGACAAAATTGGACAACTGTCCACAGGCCACTCAATAAATGAAGCTAGAGCTCATAAGTATATCATGAAACAGGAATTTTATGGCACTTTTACACATTTTTATTTCACAGGAGTATTTTCATTGCTCATTCATATTTATATGACATCAAATGCATTGAGTAGCAGAATGAACAAATAAATAAACCCAGAAAAGTAGGGGTTCTGATGTATGTGACATCATGATAAGACGTATGAAGTTACATAAACTGCAAAGAATCAGTGTTAAATGTTTAAATTTTAATTCCACGGAAATGTAAGTATAGTACTGTGTTAACATGTGTGAGGTGCAAATGGCAAATTGAACAGTATTACTTTCAGTAGGATCTGAGGCAAACTTCTACCAAACTACACAGCGCTAGAACCTACAAAAGAGCCATCTTATTACGTTTGTCTCTCATCTTAACAGTTAACGGCCAATTTTGAAATGTCTCCTATAAAATGTTTTGTGCGAAGCATTATGTGAGGATTTTGGTGAACAGGAAGTTTTTTGAACTGGAAGAACATCTAATTCACAATGGTTAAGTGAACATGGGGCAAGAGAACAGGGTTGCACTGTAATGAAAATAACTGGGAACAGAATGAGCTTTTAATGTGGTCCTTCTGACATGTGCACAATTACAGACAATGGTTCAGAAAGGGGATGATTCCAGAAAAGACTTATCAGAAATTAAAACAGTGAAATAACATGCAATGCTTTGGAGATGGAGAGGCAAATATAAAATGTGAATTCACATACACGTGCCAACATGTGACAAATGAAGATATAAGTTAATTTTCTGAATGTGTAACTTTGGCTTTCCTTAAGTTATCATAAAAATAGGGACACTAATAACTACTATGTACAAAAACAGTCTGCTGTAAAGCATATACAAAAACAATCATATCTGAGTTTTAATTTCACTTGTTCTTTCAAAAAACAAATATCAAATACTTTCAGTTCACAATGAACATTTTGTTATCTTATTAAGTCATTTAAAACAGTCTTTGTCTCTTGGAAGAAAAAAGATGAAATTTTTAACAAAATGCAACTTCTATTTTTGTAACTAATAAACATCAAATAGTTTTATTTTTCAAAACTAAACTTCTTTACTCTAATAAATAATCACAAGGCAGTCCGCACCTTTCTTCAAAAATGGGGCTTTTTAAATCAGTTCTTTCATTCACTATCCTAGAACAGATTACTCCAATCCCTTTTTGAACCAAAGTCTGTGAACACATTACAACCATTTGAAACCCGGTGATGAACTGTACGAAAACATATCTGGGGCAGAGGTTGAATTCGAAAGGGCGTTTCCTTGTAGCTGATCCACCAAGAAATCATCTTCATCTTCATCCTCTTCATTCTCCCCTCTGCTGCCAACATTCTGTTCACACAAAATACGTGAGTTCTCTTCTTCCGGCTTCTGGTATGAACAGTATATGGGTCTGATGAATTGGACACATCTGATCAACACACAACATACTTCATTACGGCTGTACTGTTCCAAAAATATTAATAAGTCTTTTGTCCAACTTCACGCTATCCAGCACAAGATACCTTAAAAAAGGCTTTCAAACTGTAGCAAAAGCATAACAGTTGTTTATTTATTCAATTTCTAACTATACAGCATCAAATAATAGAATGATCAGTGAGTAATAAATTGGAAACAATCACAGCCTAATTTAAGATTCTATTCCAATATTTGCCTGAAATAACTGAAAAACCATGAAAGCCCTCAGTCAAGATACCTAATCTATGGGTAGTTTCAAACCAATACTGCTTAAATATAAAGCAGAATTCCTAACCACTAGTTCAGTATTAAACTGGGGTATACGCAGAACTTTCAGATGATACACACAAGAACTGAAATAATATTAGCATCACAGGTGAAAAAATGAGGTGGGATTCACACCTGTGCTCAGGATGAGACATCAAAAGCAGACGAGAAACCCAAAAGCAAAGTTAAGAGATGGCACTCAAGTGTGTAAAAGTAGATAAACCAAGTCCCCAAATTGGAGCTCATCTCTAATATTCTTGAAATTGTTGAATGAATGAAATATGAGAGATTCAATATGACCTAAACCTAAAACATTGGGTGATATGACGTGAAGTAACGTGCATAAAGGCAATCGTTACTGACCTGCGTAAGACAAATGGATCAAATGGAAAGAATGTATCAAGCAAGGTAGAGTCCCTGTTGACAGCGTATCCCTTGTCATCCTGATGGACCACTGGCATGCTGTAGCGAGCGTTGTGCTGTAGAACAGAGTAGCAGTACGCCAGCTGATATGTCCGAGTCACTGTGGCAAAGTTCTGGGCCACAACTGGCAAACAAACCTTCAATGGATTTAGCCTGCATGTCACAATTTTGGTCAGGTTTAGACTCTGTAGAAATGCCAGATCTGTGGAGGAAACAGATGCCACAGTTCTCACAAGTTCCACTTTAATAATATCAGTATATAAGTACCATATTTTCGTGATTTTAGGAGAAACTTCTTCCCACATTTTAACATTTCTGTAATCAGGCTGCATGTTACATTTGTTGGCATCCAAGGATCAATATAAAGTAAAGCTGTTCCACCATACGCCATGTAGGCGCTTGAGGGGGGGAGTGGAGGTACAGCTCGTACTCATTCTTAACCTCAGCTCTAGATAGGGGTGATTGGTCAGCATCATGCCCTGTCCGCACTTTACCCCTGGGGAAGGACCTTGGTACCCAGTGGACAGGAGGCTGGGTAGGTCCCAAAGCCGGTCTGGACGCAGAGGCCAAAGGAAAAAATCCTTTTCCTGCAGTCTGGGATCGAACCCCATTCATCCAGTCCAGAGTCAGTCACTATACTGACTGAGCTACTACATCTTACATTTAATGGCATCTTAGGATCAATACAACATCTTTTATTTTCCTGAAACCCATTACCAAATCAACGCTGTATCTTACAATCAAGGAAATATGGTACATTTTAAAATACAGAACTATGGAGTACATAAAATAATTCTGTTGTTAGGTTCACTGCATTTCCAATATGTAATATTGAAGATTCATTAGAGTTATTTATACTTTGTTCTACAGTGCTAACTGTTTGACCTCTAAGGCCTGGGAATCTCAATACAGTTTAAACTACAGCACATTTCTTTACTGAAGTACAACTTATGCAACCTTTTTTGCTGATAAGACACATATTGTAAGTAAAAAATTGTACACACACTGGCATATTTTGGGGAACACTAGGAAATATTTGCAAGTTTCTTTCAACATGCATTAGCTGGTGAACTAAGAAATACTCATCAGTCAAAAGGGTTTATTCATAATTAGTATCCCTACTAAATCCGGGGCATGATTCTTTTTTTCTGTTCCATCTCGTTGGTAACAGAACAATGGACATCACATCCAACTTTGGCTGGCCATAGAGGAGCTGATATTCAGTGTAACTCAGCAAATATTTTGTTACTGCACACAGAATGACATTGCAGAAAAAGTATGTTTGCCCTCACATACTTTTCTTAGAATGAACAAGGTCATGATGTCTGAAGGCTATGACGTAGAACAGTGTCTGACACACCGTGTAGAACACAGAGTGGACTCGTACATCTGAATTGGCACACTCCAACCCATCTTGACTGGAGATGTATGTGTGTACCCAGGCAGACATTTCAGCTACCGAAGCCTTCAACAAGCTGAAATTAAAAGTTAAAGTCACTGAAGTAGAAAACAGATGTTAACTTGAAACTGCAATTTTGAAGAGCAACAAAAATGTTTGTATCAATGATATTTAAAAAAGAAGCAAAATATTTTTCAAATGCTTACATACTTCAGCAATACAAGCTGCTGAAGAAAGAGACAATATTCTCTTAAATGAAGATATCTACCTACAAATCCACATAGTATTACAACCTAAAACAACAACACTGATATAACCTCAAACCTCACACACACACACACACAAGAGAGAGGGAGAGAGAGAGAGAAGGGGGGGGGGAGAGGGGGGGGGGGGGGGTGTATTTGAAATAAATGTTATAGATCTGCATTTATGTCACATATGAAAATGTTTGTATGGTGAACCATTTTTTAAATTAATTTAAGAAATTATATATACAGTCTTATGTAAAAGCTGATGTTATATATGAAATGACCAAAGAACAATTCCTGTTGTGTACCCTCAATATAATATTTTACTGACATTTGTTCAGTGATTTTGGAAAAAAAAATGAACAAGAAAACTCATATTATCTTCATTATATGATCATTTTATTGTACCTGTGGAAATATGATATGAAAGAAGAAACAACATCATATATATACATCGGCATGCTCAACATACTGTTGCGGCAAAAGAGAGCATTTCATAAATGATTAGATTCCGATTAATGAAATTTAACTGCAAAACAGCAAGCAACTCACCTGATGTTAATGTATGATGCCCTACACAGCATACTGCCCATGTACATAATAGCTGACTGTCGAACAATGGATGGCATGCTGGGAGACACCACTTTATGCCACAGGAAGTTCAAGAAAGATTCTGCTACTGTCACCCTGAAGCTACAGATGTAGAACAGAAGAAACTGTACATGATGTGTAGCATGGGTCGACAAGACGACTTGCTCAAATACTGTCACTAAGTCATGGTACAACTGCTTTGTCCTCTCCCAGTCTAGCTGTTTCTCGCCACCATGACACTCAGAATGCAGGTACATAAACAACTGCACCATTGCAATGTCGAGATTATTTGCTATAGGATGTCTCATACCTAACTGCTGCACTTGTGCCGATACTTTGTTTGCCTCAGCCTCTTCAATGTCCATTTCAAAACATTCTTCAGCCTCCTCATGGTCCAAAACTTCTACTTTTGGAGCATATACATCCAGTGCAACCAACCTGTAGCATAAATGTATTTCTGTTTCATGGCTTACAGTAACCATGATACTTATGAGACTACACAAATTTACATAGCATAAAATCTTTTCCAACAAAAACTTCTTTTACTGCTTAACAGGACATTTTCCCATAATCACATATACATAAAAGATAAAAAAGATATCCACATGGACCAAGGACTGAAGGAGTTATATACCAAAGCATTAAATTAAGTTTTTAAACATATGATCTGCAGTACAAGAGACTGAAACATCATGCACCCAAATCATAAGTCTCACAAATTTCCTACCTTTCTATTACAATAAAGTGGGCAGTGCTTTGTGATTAATTAACGAAATGAATCTATCACTAGTCCATGATGACTGGTAGTTAAAAAATAAATACTTATGTACCTCTTGAAGATGATGAGGAGGACTTCTAACCGCAACCTGGGCTGATATTCAATTACTCTGAGCATATTGTAAACAAAGCATTCTTGTTCATGGCTTGGGCGGCGGAGATATGGGAAATTCTTTATCATGACTTGTACCAGGATGTTACATGCCCTTTAGAAACACAAGGCAAAAGAAAATGTAGTTAAAGACACATGAAGGACAATCTACAGCTGCTGTCAAAGTACTTCAGCACAGACCGCAACACTCATAACATTCGGAACTAAATTATTTCCATACAGCAGGGTCATTGTTAAAATGCTGATAATTAAACTCATATTCTGAGAATATTTTGATTTAAACAACTTACATTGGCATCACTTGCAGCAAGACTCTCAGAACAGTGTGGGCATGGCCAAACACCAGCAGCTCTTCCTCTGTTGGGACTCCATTTGTCCATTCATCCTCACAGCCAACTGAAAGAGAAATGCTAATGGAAACTACTGCACAGACTGGTTTCCTCTATAACACACACCTGTGCCCAAGTATTGTCATGAAGGCACTGATAAATATATATAATGGTAGATTTACAAGTAATCTGAACCTTGACACATGGCAGCTGAATGATCTGATTCATGTTTTGGCCACATTACTCTTAAGTAAAGATGTCCTGGAATACACGGTGCAGAGGCTGGGCGGATCCAGACCAAGTCTGGTTACTGTGGGTGGAGGGGGGGGGGGCAGAGTGAGAAGGGGAAATCAAGACCAGGTCATCCAGCTGGAGATTTACTCTACCGATAAGTTAGCTCAACTCATATCAAGCTCACAAAAATTCTGGAATAAAATACACAGAATGGTACTATTCATCTTTCAACAAATTAACTTTTAAATACTGTAAACTACTGGAGCAGAGAGAACTACTTTTACATATTTGAATAAAGTTTTTAGGAGACCATTTTAAAGTAGAAATTTTAACTTTTCCCATATTAGTTACATAGCAAAAACAAACCTGATTTGAAAATTGGCATCAACTTCTCAAAGGCACTCTTTGTATAATAATTGTGGGCAGACA